TCCCACCACCCCAAGTACACTCCACTATGCAACCTTAATTCTGGACTCTTGTGATAACCATAATACCCTATCATATATTGCTTTTAAATTATTCTCTCCCTCATCTCTTTCAATGTAGTATAATTTATCTAGTTTTTCTCAGTCTTATCCCAACCCTGATGTCAGTCCCATTCTACAATAGTGGCACCATGCAGTATTTGTCCTTTTGTGATTGAGATATTTCACTCAGTATAATGTCCTCCAGGGTCACCCATTTTGAATAATATTGCATGAGTTCCTTGTTTTTCAATGCAGCATAGTATTCCATCATGTGAATATACCACAGCTTCTCTATCCATTTGTTTGTTGATGGGCACCTGAGTTGTTTTCAACTCCTTGCTATTGGGAACAAAGCCGCAATAAACCTGGGTGTGCATATCTGCTTGGATGTCGGTTATGGTTTCTTTAGGGTATATTCCCAGTATTGGAATTGCTGGGTCAAATGGTATCTCTATTTGCAACTTTTTGGGAAAGTGCCACATCACTTTCCACAGTGGTTGCACCATTATACACTTCCACCAACAGTGAATAAGGGTTCCAGTTTCTCCACAACCTCGTCAACATTTGTTGCTTGCTGTTCTGTTAAATTTTGCTATTCTGACTGGGATGAGATGATATATCTCATAGTTGTTTTGTAAACCTATTCTTAAGATGATGTCTAAATTCAGGGGAGATAGTCTCAAAATTATATTTTAGCTCTTGTTTTGAATTTCTTCAGCCTCAATTTGAACCTATACATAAGTAACTGATAGTCTGTTCCACAATCAGCACCTGGCCTGATTTTGAATGCTGACATTGAGTTTCTCAAACGATTCCTTCAAACAGATATACGTAATCTCATTCCTATACAGTCCTTCAGGTGAGTTCATGTCTAAAGTCACTGCATTTTTTAAGAAAAGGTATTTGTGATAAATAAATTCAATTGAATGTACAAAATTCAATCATTCTATTTCCAGCCTTAATTCTGTCACCAAATTCATACTTTACAACTATCATTTATTAATCATTATTCCCAATTTTTACATTCTAGTCACCAATAATTATTAACACACCTTGATTGCATGTTTGGTCAATTTTGTACTGCAGAATTTGGTAAAAAATCTTCAATTTCCTCCTCTGTTAAGACTAATTGCCTTCACAGCACGGAAATAAAAGCATGAGTTTCTATCACTGGGAATAGTGGTTTCAAGATTCTAGCACCTCTGTTGAGTAGACTACAAGTTATAACCCCCCACCTCGTACCACTGACCTCTATTCTGAGTCATCAGCTGTGTACACACATGTGGTAATCACCTGATTCTCCCACAATCACCCAAAGAAGGTCATCTGGCAGAGATGAAGGGTGATGAGTGGGAGGACAGCTTTTGCAGAAAACCTTTTATAATGAATCACCACAAGACCAGGACCCACCTCCAACTCTTTCTTCTCTTGGTGGCTAAAAGCAAGTGAAAAAGAAACATCTGCCCTTCTGTTTGGCAGTCTTCCTAGAAGGATGCAATTGTTCCTGCTCCTGTCAATCTTTCTGGTCTCTGGGGCAGAGACAGGTGAGTCACCCTCCTCCTCATTCCTTTTAGGCTCAGCCTCTTCCCAGGGTACTGATATCATCTTCCTTCTGTGCGTTCCTGATCCTTCCACCAACAGGACCTCTCACCTTAGTCCCTATTTCAGTCTCACCACAGGCCCCTGAGTATGATACTAGATAAGCTCTCAGCAAGTGCCTCCAAGTTGGTTTTCAGAGGCTATAAATCTAGCAGGAGAAGATTGGCCATATTCAGCTGGTGATTTCAAACTGTTTGGCATCACAACTCCTTGCCTTTTAGATCAGCAGAGTTCCTGTAGTGGCAGGTAGAGCAGGAAAGATGCCTATTCTTAACAAGGGGCTGGTCCTACAATTGTCACCTGGAAGGTTGCACTTTCCTAGAAGACCATGGCAATGGGTGGGAAACCAGAAAAAAAGGAAGACAAAAATTTCAAGAACGATTTTTGTTTCTATACTTGAGATGAGACAAATGCTTTCCTCACCCTCCTGACTGACAGAGAAGCCCAGATTTCAGCTGACCTTGGGACTGGTGAGGCCTCTGCCCCATCACACCATTTACTTTGCTCGGACCCCTCAGTCATTCTCACCAACTCTGCCTTTCTTCTCAGGTCTCAGCAGCTTTGTCCTTTTTCGGAATGGGCTCAACTTCTCCACTTTTCCACACTCCCACCAGCACTACTCCCAGAAACCCTAACCCGGTAATTGGGGAACATTCCTTCATGTATCCAATAAATTTTTACTAGGCATCCACTTTTTCAGGCTGTAGGAAATAGGATAAAACACTGTCTATATCCCTAAACTTATGGCCTGGATATTGGAAAGCAGCATTTTCCTAAGCATCACAGGACTCATAAGGGTCTTAGAAATCCCCTTAGTACAAACAACAACAACAACAACAAAAGAGGAATTTTTCCAAAGTTTTTAGGACTTTGGAGCTTCTAGAAAGCCATGCTTGTCTCCAACCTTGTAGAAAAGAAAGATTACAACTAGGGAGTGCCCTTCTCTTATTCTAAGAAGCAAGCTGAGGCCTCTCAACCCACTAGCCCCACTCAGGCCACCCAAGGTTCACACGTGCCCAGTAGTTTTGGAGCTAGCAGGGACCTGCCCAGGGAACTCAGCAGAACAGACTTCTCCTTCAGGGAAGATCATCGGGGGACATGAAGCCAAGCCCCACTCCCGCCCTTATATGGCATTTATTAAGAAGACAAAGTGTGGTGGCTTCCTGATCCAAAAGGACTTTGTGCTGACAGCTGCTCACTGTAATGAAGGGTAAGGAACAATGACCAGCCCCCATTCCCTGGGAAAACCTGCCTACTTCCCCAAATGCTCCCAGAACCCCCCATAACATAAAGGTAAGAGTGCGGAGAGAGTGTGAAAGGAGAGGCGATGTTGTAGGGAAAGGAGGAGAACAGTACCAAGCTGACAAAGTGGGCCATATTTTGAAGTAAGAGCATGCATTTGGGTCAAAATGAAAAACAAAAAAAAGATCTTGAATGTTTTATCAAGGGTGATTGATCCCTAAAAGCCACTGGAACATTCACCAATGGCCCCAGCATCCCATCTGGGCTACAGGAAGCAGAAAGTACAGTAAACTCAGGCCCAGGTCTGTCACCTGCCTTTCCCTTCAGCTACAGCCCTGCTCTGACCCAGCTGTCAGTGCTCTCCCCAGCTTCTGGGTTACAACTCTTGTGACTCCTCCCTTACCCATTCTGCTCTTTATGCAGTGGTCTAGTTGTCACCCTGGGGGCCCATGACATCAAAGAGACGGAAGATACCCAGCAGCGCATCCTTGTGAAAAACAGCATCCCCCACCCAGACTATAATAGGAGGTTTTATTCCAATGACATCATGCTGCTACAGGTAGGATACACATCTCTGTTGCTTTTGGTCTTTTAGATCCAGGCTGTTTTTCCTCCCACTATGATCCATGCCCTTTTCGACTTGGCTGCTTGTCTGGACTTAAAGAAGCAGCAACAAAGGGCAGCTCATTAGAGTCAGCAGGTCCTGCAGGCTTTTATTGACTAAGACTTTGTTGTTTTCCCCTCAGCTGAGTACAGAGGCCAAACTGACAGCATTTGTGCGCACTCTGCCCCTGCCGAGTAGAAAGGCCCGTGTGAGGCCGGGGCAAGTGTGCAGTGTGGCTGGCTGGGGCCAGACCTCATTGAATAAAGGAACAAGCAAGCTGCATGAGGTGGACCTGATCATGCAGGAGGACCAGGAATGTAAGTGCTTCTACCCCAAGCACTACAACAATACCTCCCAGTTGTGTGCAGGAGACCCAAAGAAAAAGATGGCTTCTTTCAAGGTGAGATTTAGCATTTATCTGGTCTGACTTTGGGGAGAAGGATGTTTCAGGAAGATCTGGGACATGAAGACCCTAGTTAGACACCTTGATCCACTTTCCCGGGGTAAGAAGAGGGGAGTAGCCAAGTTAGGGAGTCATTCAGAACTCTGGTAGCTGGCCAGTGGTGAATCTGAATAGTGCTCTTTCAGAAAGAAAAAGTTGCAACTTCCTGCCCTACCTTAAAAGTACTTGGATGGCCCAAATATTTAGTGACTAGCTACTAACCTAAGGGTTGGTAGTTTGAATTTACCCAGAGGTGTAAAGATTATAGCAAAGAAAATGCAATGAACAATTTGACTTTGGAACATATGTGATGACTATGAACTGGAATGATATGACAACCAGTTTGGGTTCTTAAGAAGGGCTGTGAGGTGTTTTTCATACCCCAGGGGATGTATGCTAGCAAGCAAATCTACTCTAGCATGGAATAAGTAAAAACAGTAAGTCAAGACCTAGCACCCACACTGTTTAATATACTGTCTTCCCTCAGCCACTTGCCTAACCTTCTTTCTGTAAGTGATAGCCTGGAACCAAAGATTCCACAGAACCTTAGAAAGGAAGAAGATAGGTCACAGCTTGTAGTGAGATAAAGCAACAATAACGTCAAAGTCAGAATTTAGCAGCTGATGGTGCCCAGAGAGACTTCTCACCTCATGGAAGGCAGCCTTTTCCCAGAATGTGGAGGGAAGCAGGACCAACGGAAGAACAAGCTCAGCCCTTCATTTCTCTGTTCCCAGGGAGACTCTGGAGGTCCCCTCATATGCAACAAAGTGGCCCAGGGCATTGTCTCCTATGGAAATAAAGAAGGGAATCCTCCACGGGTCTTCACCAAAATCTCAAGTTTCCTGCCCTGGATAAAGAAAACCATAAAACGCCTCCAACTGGAAGAGTCACCCTGAGCCCCTCTGTGCCTCTATGCTTGACCTTCTGACCTACATGGCCCAAACCTTAATAAACAATTCTCTTCACTGAGAGAAAAGGATTGTGTCTTCACTATTCATTGGCCTTCTTTAGTAGGCCCTAACTCTGGGCCAGCAAACATAGGACTTTGAGTCCTTCTTCCCTCCATCCTCCCACCACATTCGCAAACATTAGGGAAAGTGGTTATCTGGCTCCTTTTTACCCTTTCTGCAAGGCTAAGGCAAAACACCCTTAGTGCAAAATCCAAACCTTTCTGCATCTGTGCTCAAGTGAGCTTCTCAGTTATCAGTGCTACACAGCAGAGAAGAAGGGGCTGCTTTGAGGGTTCTGGAGTCCTCGTTGCCCATCATGAGGCTCAGAGAAGAACAAGAATCACACAATCAAGGAATCTGGTAGCTTTAAAAGGAAGAGGTCCTTAATAAGTTTCTATTCTCCCCTAGGATTAATTTCCCTTTTTCCTTCTCTGCCCTATTCTGAGGCCAAGGCCTAAGTCAGCCTTTAGTCTTCTGGTTATCCATTCACTTCCATCTCTGCTTACCACTGAAAGTGTTCAAAGTCCACCAATTCTTTTCTCCTCCAGACCACCCTCACTTTAACTGGCCACCTTTTCATCTCCCCATAAAGGAATCCCCGTGACCTATGTGGTTCCAGCAGGGCGTTATCACTGAGAGGTGAGTCCAGTTCACTCTACAGCAGAGAAGGGCCTTGGAGAGGCTGGTACCAGGCAGGAACATGGGAGGACAGGCTTGGTAGAATCCCTTTCCAAAAACCTTGGCCCCAACTCTCACTGAGTAGGACCGACTCAACCTCCATCCACTCAATACCCAGCCCAGTAGACCCTATAAACTCAGGGTCCATTGGTCACCTAGTTACTCAGTAGGCTGAATCTTTCAGCCTGCCCCTTTTACTCATTACTTGCCTATAGGCCAATAAACTTTAATGATGATCTCAATTCAACTCACTGCCCTCCAGTAAAAACAAGCTCCTACCAGTGGAATTGTCTGCTGCCTCTACCTTCTTTAGAGTTTATGCAGCCTAGGTCTATGTGGCAAATCGTTGTTGTTGCTGTTGTTATGTGCCGTCGAGTCGCTTGCGACTCATAGCAACCCTCTGTACAAGAGCCCTAAACTCCGCCCTGTCCTGTGCCAATCGCACTGTCTGCGACACTCCCATTCCGATTATCCCAGTCACTGAATCAATCCACCTCATAGAGGGCCTTCCTCTCCTGTGCCGTCCTTCCACCCTCCCAAGCATGATGTCCCTCTCCAAAGACCAGTCTCTCTTCACAACATGTCCAAAGTATGTTAGACGGAGCCTCAGAATCCTTGCCTCCAAGGAGCCACCCGGTTTAACCCTTTCCAGGACAAATCTGTTTGT